GCTGTTTTGTACGGGGTGATTTTTAATTTCTCTTTGCCTGCTTCTCAATAAGTTCACGCTGACTGCTGTTTTGTACGGGGTGATTTGTAATTTATCTTTGCCTGTTTCTTAATAAGTTTACGCTGACTGCTGTTTTGTACCGGGTGATTGTATTTCCCTATGTAAATTTAAATAATAATTTTGAGACATACAATTAATTGTACATTTTATTGACTGCCATAAGTTGTTGTATTATAACATTATAACAGAAGCAGTGGCAGTTAAGAGGTGCAAACAAGTGTCTAGTGAACAAAAGGATCACGTGGTTATATTACATTTCCATTACTGTTGTGACGTGACGGTGGGTATTTAATGGTTTATAATGTTGTTGAGTAGGGATGTTCCTCTCAACACATTCCCTCCACCAGATTAACCGAACTAAAATCTGAGCTATGTTGCTCTCAGACCACGTCCCTGGGATAGCCAAGAAAAACAAGGCCAATTGGCTCGTTTTAATCAATAACATTAGCTGAACTTTGTACCTCACCAAGCGAAGGCAAGGAAGTTTAGATGTTATATCATACTTAATGAATTTTATTAGGAACAGGGCGAGTGANATCTGTCTGTTTGTCGGTGGGTTGATCGATATCCTTCTCTTCTTTTTATGTGTTAGTTTATGTGTTTATCTGCCTGCCTGTCTGTCATCTGCATCACATTTTGTAATAACACTCCGTCATCATTTATGCATTTATCTTTTGCTTTATATTTCTCCTCTTCTCGCTGTCCGCCCGTCTCTTCTCTCTCTCTCTCTCTCTCTCTCTCTCTCTCTCTCTCTCTCTCTCTCTCTCTCTCTCTCTCTCTCTTGCTTTCTCTCGTTCTATCACTTTGTAGTTTCTAGATTCTGGATAAGGATGACATCATCTTATCAGTCTTATAAAACATATCGTCCCTCCCGCAACCCTTTTTGCGTTGACTAATATAACTTTCCTTCGATCTTGTTATATAGTAGTGGACTTGTAGTTCTGCGATGAATGAAGCTCTTTCTAATGAATCTATGCAATTTATGTTATATTCTTCTATTGATTTCCTCCTTTCAAATTATTTTAACCGGCAGTTGTTTGGTAATATCTAGCAGGGTTTTTCCCACTGCTATTAGAACAACATAATTTGAAGGGCGAAGATTAAATTATATTTTTTTTTCTTTCAAGGTATCAGGGCCAACTGGTTGTTAGAAATAACCCTGCAGAAAACCTTTTTTTTTTAATGTCAGCTTTAGTGCGTTTCAGAAATCGTGCCTTCGCACTTTTAACAAACGGTTCGAAAACTCCTACACGGATCAACGGGAGTTCGTGCATGTTGTTTTAGATTTTCCATGTCCTTATGATTTTATAATTTACAATTGCATAGCTGCTGCTGTTTTCTAAAAACGGCGCATTTATTTGATCTTTGTTTGACAAATGATTTTTGCATCCTAACAAATATAGTTTATACTAATTGACACACGTATGGAAATTATTTGAAAATTATTTCAAATGTGCAGCAATGAATGTTGATTATTTTGATAGCTTCTCCCGCCTGAGATTGTTTAGAAATCAGCTCAAACGTGGTGATTATTTTGATAACCCCTCCCGCATACAATAAAACATCCACAACTCAAGGGAGGCTAATGCTGGAAATGAGCACCTGAGAATGAAACGCGTGAACTTTGATGTTGAAAAGTTCCCGTTACTCGGTTAATGGCAAATATGCTGATTATTTCTTTGAATCAGCGTATTTTAATACAGCATAAAGGGCAAAATAAAAACTAGTAGTTTGCTGTTATTGAAAAGAATGTCTTGCAAGGACATGATTCTTGACAAGTTGCATGCCAGATGTCAACAACTTACACAGAGCGGATACTGAATGACAGATTTTTAAAGTTAGGCACTACTTCTGTGACGGACTCTAGCACTTCTCCCTCTTTTCAAGGCGGCGCGTTGGAAAATTGTATTGTAGTTTACAGCTAGGCTGCAGTATCTGCAATATCAAAGCCCTAATTAGTCTCATTTAACGACATGCATGTTGGAGAACAATTTCAACCTCCCTCACTTCCTCCCTCCTCTCTCCCCTCCCTCCCTCTCCACTCCCTCCCTCTCCCCTCCACCCTTCTCCCTCTCTCCCTCTCCCTCTCTCCCTCTCCCCTCCCTCCCTCCTTATCTCCCCTCCCTCACTTAATCTCTCCTCTCCCTCCCTATCTCCCCTCCCTCCCTCTCTCCCCTCACTCCCTTTCTCCCCTCACTCCCTCTCTCCCCTCCCTCTCTAAATGAGGCCCCAGAACTCACACGGGGAACTCAGCTTTTACAAGATTAATTACCGTGGGGAACACAAAGTTAAAAGAGAAGTATTTTGTTCTTCGTAATAACATTGTACTGCAGTAGTTGTTTAAGGTTTCTATCAAAAACAGGACTTCTTTATCAGTTCATAAAATTGTGTTGTTGTTTTTTTTTTCTTCTCGGTAGCTTAGAGGTTTGTGAACGTACTTTAACAAAGCTCAGAACCCCTTGAAAATGTGTAAACATATCTCGCCGCCCCTACCCCTTTCTCCTACATCCTCTCCCGATATTTTCTTTGTGTCGGCTCCCCTGCTAAGAAGGATTGTCTCTTTTTTTGTTTTTTTGTTGTTGACAAGTTCAAAATGTTTGAGCCAATTTGATACATGTATCTTAAGAGTTAAGTGACACTGATGTTTAACCAAGTTTTGTTTTAGCGTTCTTAAAAGTAACTGCTGATAAATAGTTCATGTGTTGAATATAAACTAGAAGTAATGCTTACAGTTGCTAAATCCAGACACTTTTTTCACTTCTCTGGTCGTCAAGAACAGATACAGCATTTTTTTCTCTAAGTGAAGTAGTTAAAAGTGTCTTTAAATTACGATCTGAATATACCACTCTTAGGGCTGTTTAGGACAAGGTAAAGGGGGATGTGTGAGACTGAGGATTAGTGGGCGCATGGCTAATGCAGTTTCCATGAACTTTGTAGCTCAGGGTTTCCATTATTGCCATTGACAGAAGAATCCCTCTTTCCCTTACTGAGGATCGAACCCTGATCTCCAGCACGAGAGATCAGTGATATAACCAGCCGGGCAGCCGCTCCTTGAATAACATTATAAAACTAATACTTCTTAATCTCGCTTTGCTGACATACGAGTTGTAGTCTTCGACGAACAATAATTTTCTTAATATAGCTGCTACATAACTGATAGAAATATTAAAAAACAGCACTCTAGAATTTGTGGAGGTCAAAAGAAATTAAAAGAAACACTAAGCTTAAAATGTTTAATTATAATCTCAAATCAGTACTGTTGAATGGAGCGAAAACATGGAGAACGACTAAGGCAATTACTAATAAACTACAAACATTTAATAACTGGTGCCTGCGCAGAATAGAGGGAATTAAATGGTATGATAGAATAACTAAAGTAGAACTCTGGGCGAGAACTAAAGAAGTTCTAGTGGACCAAGAGGTGAAAAAAAGACGCTGGCTTTGGATAGAAGACAAACTGATAAAACCGGAGAACATCATAACTAGAATGTCTTTGCATTGGAACCCACATGTGCATAGGAATAAAGGGTGACCGAAAACACACGGAGAAGGGAGCTAGAGGGTGAAGTTCAAAAGATAGGGAGGACATGAGGAGCTGCATGCGAAAGCGAAGGATAGAACTACTTGTCATGAGTTGGCTGTGGATCTAGCTCCATTGGGGTTTAGAAAGGCAGAAGTAGCAAGTTTTGCAAACGACCGCTTTGCTCTTGTAATCTATACATAATTGTACAGTCCATGTTGTAACTATCTATCTCAGCAACAGCTGCAGAACCTCTCGCACACCATGGAATGATGGACAACAATGGCGTGGCTGGACATTCTCTATCAGACTGGATCTACGAAGGGCAGTCTTCATACCGTCGGATCTTGTTTGCGTTCACCAGCTGTAGGCTGAAAGTTATGTACGTTCGTCCACTTCTGGACTATAGTGTTGTTCCAAAACCGGAATGTTGCGTGCGCATCGGTTTTACATATCTGAATGTGCTAGTAACATCAGCTGTTTTGTTTTAACTGGTAACATACCCGAGAGAGAAAGAGTGAGAGAGAGAGATGGAGAGATAGAGAGAGCTCATCCAATGTCCTTCCCATCGTTTTGACTTTACTCTCCAGCTCCCTTCTTCGTATGTTTTTGTGTCTACTGTTATTGTCCCGTGTGTTCTGCTGTAAAGACCTTTTTGTTATATTTGTCTTAGGTATTCTAAACGTGCTTCTGAGACTTTCTAAACGTGTGTCCTATCTAATACCTGCGTCTTGCATTCACTTGTTGATTCTCTGGAATTTGTTTAGTTCTTTCCCAATGCCCCACTTTAATGATCAAATCATACCATTTAACTCCCTCTTTACCGGACAAACAAGTAATGTTTTTTTTTTTTTTTTAGTTATTTTCTATGTTTCAGCTCCATAAAAAATTATTGACTTGATAAAAGAGTTTAACATTTTAGATTTGTAAAACAAAAACATATTTTTGCATAATTCTAAAATGTTTAATATGAGTCTGACATTTTTAGTATGAGTCAACCTATCGAGTATGATTCTAACATTTTTATTTTGATTCCAACATGCTGAGTGTGAGTCGTAACATTTTTATAGTATGAATCGTAACATTTTTAATATGAGTCTCACATTTTTAGTATGAGTTGTAACATTTTCAGCAAGAGTCGTAACATTTTTAGTATAAGTCGTAACGTTTGTAATATGAGTCGTACCATTTCATTATGAGTCGTAACATTTTAATATAACATTTTTAATATGAGTCTCACACTTTGAGTATGAGTCGTAACATTAATAATATGAGTTGTAAAATTTTTAGTAAGAGTCGTAACATTTTTAGTATGAGTCGTAACATTTGTAATATGAGTCTTACACTTTCAGTATGAGTCGTAACATTTTTAGTATCAGTCGTAACATTTTTAGAATGCGTCTGACATTTTTAATTTCAG